TTGAGGTGGTCGAGATTGTGCAACCACAATGTATTAAAATCCATTGGGGACGGCGTCGCTGGTTTGTGCACCCTTCTCGCTTGAAGCCATTTGTTGCTCCGCGCGGCTCTGCGTCAAACTCACAACACGAGGGCTGGGCGGGGGATGTGTCCGACGAGCCGGATGTTGCCTCGTTGGTACCTAATCCACAGCGCAGACGTGTCATTCCTCCCGCAGATGATGCGGGACTGAGGGAGTCGTGCGAGCCACGAGTCTCTGCAGAAAGGCCTCTGGACCCACCCAACATTTTTGTCTGGCTGCCTGATCCGCCAAACATTTTCGCCAGGCTGCCTCACTCGCCTGTGCCTAGAGTCTCCGCAGAGAGACCTCCTCACCCACCCAACATGTTTGCCAGGCTGCCGGACCCGTCTGCACCAGGAGTCTCCACAGAGAGGCCCCCTGTCCCTACTAACATTTTTGTAAGGCTGCCTGACCAGCCTGCAGCCCAGAAGAGGGCACCCATCCCCTATGACGGGCCCGCAAAATATACACGGGCTAAATCGCGTCGGTTTTCATGATTGGCCATCGTTTTTTTTTTCAGCATCTGAACGCTGCATGGTTTGTTGCGTCGCGAATGTCGTTATTGGTGATTGTCTCTCACCGTGTACATATGTTGTGTTATTGGGGGGGTATTTATATTTGGGAACTTGTTGTTCTTGTTGTTCTTGTTGTTCTTGTGGTTCTTGTTGTTTTTCTTTTGGCACACACATCGGTTCATTGATGGAAGGGTTTTCTCTTTGTAACAGCCGGGACGGCTGAGGCTTCCGAAGGGGGGAGTGATGTAGTGGTGTTAACTACTCGCTGTTCGCAAACTGTGAGAGCAGATCATAAACAAGGTTTTCCCGCTCAATCAAACGGTCAGGGTCAAATGGGGTGATGTAGGATGCAAATCCAGATTGGGAAAGACCAATCAGAGGGTCCCACAAGGTGGCCGGGGATTGGACAACCCGGACACGAACAGGTATAAAAGCCAGAGTGCTGGGAGCTCTGGAGGAGTCTGCTACACGAAGACCCAAGACGGCCGAAGACGTCTAGGACCCTGGACCAAGCCCTCCAGCCCTTATCAGGGCTATGGCTCAGAGTAACCAGTGGTCGGGGAGAGATCCCCTAGGTCCAGCCAGAGGATGCTGGGAGAGCAGGGAGATTAGATAGCCTGCAAGGTCCGGAGGCTTGTACCTTCTGAGGGTAACGGGTGAGGGGACCGTATACCCCTTAGTGTGATAGGGACTGTGTGTTAAGATAATAAATAGTGTGTGCCATAAAGAAGTCCAGAAGTCCGTCCTTACAACACTACACAGGTAATGAGCTGAGGTTAGGAGCACACTCTTAAAGGGAGTGCTTTGTTACCTGTATAAAAGACACCTGTTCACAGAAGCAATCAATCAATCAGATTCCAAACTCTCCACCATGACCAAGACCAAAGATCTCTCCAAGGGTGTCAGGGACAAGATTGTAGACCTACACAAGGCTGGAATGGGCTACAAGATCATCGCCAAGCAACTTGGTGAGAAGGTGACAACAGTTGGTGCTATTATTCGCAAATGGAAGAAACACAAAAGAACTGTCAATCTCCCTCAGCCTGGGGGGCTCCATGAAAGATCTCACCTCGTGGAGTTGCAATGATCATGAGAACGGTGAGGAATCAGCCCAGAACTACACGGGAGGATCTTGTCAATGATCTCAAGGCGGCTGGGACCATAGTCACCAAGACAACAGTTGGTACCACACTACGCCGTGAAGGACTGAAATGATGCAGTGCCCGCAAGGTCCCCCTGCTCAAGAAAGCACATATACATGCCCGTCTGAAGTTTTCCAATGAACATCTGAATGATTCAGAGGATAACTGGGTGAAAGTGTTGTGGTCAGATGAGACCAAAATGGAGCTCTTTGGCATCAACTCAACTCGCCGTGTGTGGAGGAGGAGGAATGCTGCATATGACCCCAAGAACACCATCCCCACCGTCAAACATGGAGGTGGAAACATTATGCTTTGGGGGTGTTTTTCTGCTAAGGGGACAGGACAACTTCACCGCATCAAACAGACGATGGACGGGGCCATGTACCGTCAAATCTTGGGTGAGAACCTCCTTCCCTCAGCCAGGGCATTGTACATGGGTCGTGGATGGGTATTCCAGCATGACAATGACCCAAAACACACGGCCAAGGCAACAAAGAAGTGGCTCAAGAAGAAGCACATTAAGGTCCTGGAGTGGCCTAGCCAGTTTCCAGACCTTAATCCCATATAAAATCTGTGGAGGGAGCTGAAGGTTCGAGTTGCCAAACGTCAGCCTCGAAACCTTAATTACTTGGAGAAGGTCTGCAAAGAGGAGTGGGACAAAATCCCTCCTGAGATGTGTGCAAACGTGGTGGCCAACTACAAGAAACGTCTGACCTCTGTGATTGCCAACAAGGGTTTTGCCACTAAGTACTAAGTCATGTTTTGCAAAGGGGTCAAATACTTATTTCCCTCATTAAAATGCAAATCAATGTATAACATTTTTGACATGCGTTTTTCTGGATTTTGTTGTTGTTAATCTGGCTCTCACTGTTCAAATACACCTACCATTAAAATTATAGACTGATCATTTCTTTGTCAGTGGGCAAACGTACAAAATCAGCAGGGGATCAAATACTTTTTTCCCTCACTGTATATGTTGAACTTGTTTCGCACCGTACGTAACGAACCATGCTTATTGGAGGTGCAGGAGAAAGATAACAAACTAAACACAAACAGCAGTTGGAAAGAAATTAGTTTGTCAACCTAGATGATGATTTAAAAGTGCACAGCTCCAGTGACTTCCTAATATCGGAAGGAAGAGCGTTCCAAACGGCCGCAGAAGTGCATCTGAAAGTGCTGCACAATGCAGTGAGCGTCTTTGCTTGGTTAGCCAAAAGCCGCTGCTGCGAGGATGACCAGAGTCGCGTGATGGTTTTATGCAAGGTTTTGTGGTTCATTTATGTCAAGTGTTTTTCACTAATTTTCAGAGAGGGGCCACTTTTGGCAATAAGACATCATTAGTGTGAGGGCAGCCACACATTTGAAACCATTGGGGGTTTGACAACAGCACGATGGTGATGGGGGGTGCTTTCACATTTGTGTATTTTCTGGGGCCGCACATCAGGGGCCACACTAAAGGCCACCAGGGGCTGCCAGTGGCCCACGGGCCTTGCAATGAAGAACAGTGGTTTATGGCAAGCACTTTGTGTTTGTAATGAGCGCAAACTTATAATAATGTATCGTTCAGCAAACCAGAAGCCAATGCAGCTCGGAGAGCACTGGATGGATACGGTCGGATCTTGCAGCTGTACCCATCACGACACTTCATCCAACATATTGTTTGGTATTGTCATGAATCCCTCCACTACCCGAGAAGACTCACATTTACAACGCTCCATGCCAATGCATTGGTCACCTTCCAAATGGTGGCAGCCCCTCACCCGAGCATCAAGGCACACAACTGCAAGGGCTGCGGAGCGCCCATTATAGATGTGCTCCATGGCTAAATGTGGTTACACTCACTGGATTGATTCTGTCCGTGAATTTAAACTGCGTGTGTGTGTGGAGCCCATTGAGTGTTAATCCCCCTAAGTATGCGTGGGGTTTTCTCTCTCTGGGTACTCCCGCTTTCCTCCAGCATTTTAAACACGAACAACTCAGGAGAGGCGTGCCCTAGTAACTAGCCAGCATAATCGGCATACAAAAAGTCCAGTACTCACTCGTTACTCGCGACGAGGGATACATTTCAGAGATGCTCGTGAATAGAACATTTCGCAGATAATGATATAGGCCGATGAAAACCTGCTTTTTTTAAACGAATTACCTAAATTATAATACCTAAATGAACTATTATATACATGATAATAAAAAAGAAATGGTTATAATAAACAAATTCAATACAAATACATATTAAAGTATTAAATAATAGTAAAAAAAATAGTTACTTATTATGATATCTCATTACTTTATCTGATCACTTTCTCACATCAAGTTATTTCTCATTATGTTGTCTCTCATCACTTTATCTCCTTCTCTCTCTCTCAATGCAGTAGTCATGTACAGTTCTAGATGCGATTCGCAGATAGCCAAAATCGCCGATATAGCAAGTCTCATCTTCGTCTGCCTCTCATCTCCGTCTCGTCTAATCTCGGTCTCAACTCTCACTAATCGGGTCTCCATCTCCGTCTCATCTAGTCTGCATCTCTGTCTTGTCTCCGTCTCATCTCCATTTCGTCCAGTCTCCGTCCGGTCTAGTCTCCATCTTCGTCTCATGTCCATCTCATCTCCTCTTCGTCTCGTCTCCATCTCCGTCTCCATCTTATCTCCATCTCGTCTCGTCTCGTTTCCGTCTACGTCTCATCTCGTCTCGTCTCCATCGCGTCTAGTCTCCATCTCTGTCTCGTCTCTGTCTCATCTCCGTCTCGTCTTGTCTCCATCTCGTCTTCGTCTCGTCTCGTTTCCGTCTATGTCTCATCTCCATCCTGTCTCATCTCTGTCTTGAATCCGTCTCATCTCATCTCTGTCTCGTCTTGTCTCCGTCTTGTCTCGTCTCCATCTCCGTCTCGCCTTGTATTGTTTTATAACTAAAGGTGTCCCTTGAAAGAAGGGGCATGGAGTCTCTACGTGGTCGCTCCCAGCTATATTTTAAACATCGCGCGCTTATGATTGGAGTTGGCCCAACATCCAAACACAGGACCGCAGAACTTTGGGCAATTGCTGGTACCAGTTTGCCTTCCTGTTCGTCCTGGGAGTATTCCCGCAACCTCCAAGCAGACACCGCATGCGGTGTTACGAACTCCATGGTGGTTTTTTTTCCGACCTGCAACTTTTCACGAAAATAAACACCGGCAGAAGGAGGGGTGGGAGTAGCCTCGGGAGCATCACAGCGCAGCCCATCACCCCACCATGTAGACCGGAGGTGGGGGGCGGACGGCCGAGGGTGCCCTGCAGGGGGCCGCGTTACCTGCAGCGGGTTCTTGGTGCTGATGGGGATGACCTGGTATTTGTAGTAGCAGAGCTCGCAGGACCAGGAGCCGCGCTCGCTGATCCACTTGACGAGGCACGGCTGGTGGGTGCAGCGCACGGATCCATTGCATCGGCAGGGACTCAGGAGCTCGCCCTGCGCACAGCCCACGTGGGGTTGGTTGGTGGGGAGAGGTATTGCAGCAGGGGTGTGGCACCGATAGGCGGCGGTGAGGCTTGCGACTCGAGATCGCGCTCAACGCGCGCAAAGTGTGTGTGTATGTTGAACTTTTTCGTGCCACTGTACATAGCCAACCGTCCTGTGTAAGTTTATGGGTAACTTTATTGAGTCTATGGGTCTCTGTGTGAGTTAATGTATGTAGGTATGTTTAACTTCTTTCGCACCGTACATAGCCAACAGTGATAACTGGAGGTGTGGTTTTAACCCGGCAGGCTGCCCTGGTTAATACCGTGGTGTGCGTTTTAACCGTGAAACACATTCATCATCTGCTGCACACTAGACAGCTGTGAAGCTCCCACGACGTGGTTCGCGAGCAGTTGGCAATGATGTACCGGAGTCACAGTCCAAATTCGGCAAATTTCAATAAGGCGACCTCGACAATGGCATTTACTCTGCAGTGGGTTGCGCGTGGCAACTCAGCCCCTGACTGCGGAACGACTGCAAGCCACGTCCGTGAAGCGTGGCCTGTTCCTCTCGCGACGATCGCCCTGCGCTCATGCACACTTGTGTGCATGCGGATGACCTTGCCCAGCAACTCAAAGCAATGGCATGGAATTCACTGTGAAATGGGGGAATATTTCCAGAAATGGAGGCACGAGCCAAATCCCCACAAACTAACAACAAGCACACTCTGAAATTGGCACTTCTGTGGCAACACTGTGTGACACGACCCCATTCCGACCTATCCCGGAGTGAAGGCAGAACATACGCTAACCTTCCACGACCGCCTCGAAAAAGGTAGCTGCCAAAACCAAAACAAAGGGTCAACATGTTTCAGAAACTGGCAAGCACAAGCTGGGGAGATTCACCACCATCAGTGCTATGGAAACATCAACCATGGACCTTGTGTGTGAGTACTGTGCGCCATTATGGACCAAAAGTAGTCACCACTCGACTTGTTGATGTCCAACTAAACAATGCAATGCGGTGGTGTATCACAGGAACCCTCAAGTCGACCCCAACATTCTTGTTGTCAGTCCTGTAACCCTATCTCTTCCCCACCCAAACGACACAACGTTGCAACCCTTCGGATAAGTCCTGTGAATCGAGGAAACGGTCGCCTTCCCATTCATCAGGATCTTGATAACGTCCCTCGTCATTTTTTAAACTCACGCCAAGCCCCATTTTGGTCCCAAGTGCTTCACCTTCAACAATGCGCATTCAATCCCCGATGAAGCTTTGAGAGCTGAATTGAGTTCAAAATAATTCACAAACACTAGCTTGTTCTGAAAGACTCAACGCAGAAGATCCCTTAAGCTAATTTTCCACCCCAAACCGCATCTGCACAAACTGTGCCAGATGTGGATACCTGATGTACAAATGGAAAATTAAAAACTCGCCAGTAGTAGTGTGCAACTGTGGTCATCCAGAACAGATGGTACAATGACCCGAGCCACAAATATGAAGGAGACGTCACAGCGATACACTCCGCTACTCCTGACGCAGTTGTCTTGGCTTGACCACCTGAATATGAAATTGAGGTCGTTGCCCTGCATCTACATCAGCCATATGGAAGAAGAAATCCGCTCTCTCAGAACGATAGCCCCCCACACAATAGCACCCCAGCGCCTGTACGATAGCGCCCATACAATGTTGCACGTATGTTAGCAGCAGCAGCTAACTACTTGCCCAGCGCCAGCGGTGCAGCGGTTAATGGCGTGCCGGCTAATGCGGCCAGTCTCACACTTGGAGTGGAATAAAAAGAATCTGGCAAGCTGGCCCATTGGGCGTGCATCCACTCGGTATTCTCAATTAAAAAGATAAATGTTTTCACCACAGTAATGTAATGTTAATTACCTTGCCTGGTATGCAGGAGGTCGTGGGTTCTATTCCGACTCTTGACATCTGCTGTATATTTGGAGTTTGCATGTCTCTCTCCCCATGGTCATGTGGATTTTTATCCAGGTCATCCAGTTTTCCCTCCACATTTAGAAGAAAAAGAGCTTCATAGCTCATCGGATTCCTCCGGCAGTATACATACTCTGATTCTGATGGCGCTGAAGCAACAGCAGCGGCTATACACCTCGTCATGCAAGAAAGGGCGTAGAGGGTCGAGGGGTTGAAGAGTGATGCCGTGATCAATGATTAATATCCTGCTAGCCCATGCATGGCACCGCGTGCGTAACCATCAGTTGTTTTTACTGTGCACGCATGGCGAGCTGTGAGGAGTTTCCACAGCCCTCCGCTGAGGGGCGACCGCTCACCACGAGGTGGACAGCGAGAGAGTCAACCCACGAACCGGAACTCGCGATCCACCCGTGCATGCCGAGTACGTAAGGGGGGAGCGGTGGGGCAGCGGTGGGGCAGCAGTTAGTGCGATGCGCTATGAACCCGGTGACCCGAGTTCAATTCCCGCTCACGACCACCAACAACAGTGACCATTATCTGAACCGGTCCTGCGCCTCCCCTAGATCGACTCGGCAACACATAAGTACGTACCATGTGCCATTTGTAAACATCGCCACTGGAGAGACAAAGGCAGCCGGGCGTGGTGCTGGCCACCCACCCTCTCGTGTGCCGTGTCGGCCTTCATAGATGCTACTTGCTAACAGCACTTGTCCCGACAGCCTGTGTGAGTATATATAGTATTTGTTTAAATTATGATGTATTTGTAATGAGCGACTTCTGCGACACGTCGTGTAGAGGGTACTTATTATTTTATTTCTCACACAGGCACAAGACAGGCCAGCCTTATTCTTCTCACTCTGAATACAACACTTAGATTTTAACATCTCTATTGGCTACACACAGCCGATCACTCGGCGTGGTCCCACCGCCCTCACTCGGCTACGCCGCTGGCTGGCGGCGTGATGAGGATGGCGATGGAAACCCCGCAGGAGATCTTCCACTTGGCCGGACGACGGAGAGAGATGATGGCGAGCAGCGACGCAGTCCGGACCCAGAAATCGACACACGAAACCCGAGCTCTTATATCCCCCCAGGCGTGGCTAGGCCCCGCCTCCGGCCACGCCCTCCCGTGGAACCTTTGAGCCGCTTCCCGGAGCATCTCGGCCAACCCCACCAATTACTTTTGCCCCAGATACAATTCCCTCTCTGATTAGACGTTATCTTAACTGTGCCCGTACCCGCACTTCCCTTTCTCAGCCAGAAGGTGTCATCATGTCATTACATATGTATGTATGTCAAACTTCTTTTGCACCGTACGTAGCCAACCGTGCCAATCGGAGGCGCGGGGAAAAGACAACAAACTAAACACAAAAAGCAGTTCTAAAGAAATGGGTTGTCAATCTAGATGATGATTTAAAAGTGCATAGCTCCAGTGGCTTCCTAAAATATCGGAAGGAAAAGCATTTCAGACGGTTGCAGAAGCACATCTGAAAGCGCGTGATGTGGTGACCGTTTTGTTCAATGGCCAGCCAAAAGCCGCTGCTACTGTGAGGATGGCCGAAGTTTGTGTGTCGATGGTTTCTGCTCCTTGACAAGGTCAGCAAGGTGAGGTGGGGATAAGGGGGATCTTTGTCTTTGTATGGACCCTCTCTCCACAATGCGAACCTGACCGTGGATCGTTCTGTTCTGTGCATTGCGTTGTATGAGTGCTCTACGCACGAGTTGCCACCGTCAGCCACGGTGGCTCCACCACCCCATGGTACCACGGGCAGCTCTGCTTTACCTTCAGTAGCGAGCGCAAGTCCCCGTGAACCAGACGACTGCTGCAAATGCAGCAGTGGCCGATTCAGAAGCGGACAGATGGTACACATGCGGCATACGAGGCAGAAGAAAAGCTAAGTTGATTGATCGATCATTAGCTTACGTGCCAATATCGCGCCGTCGATAAAGCTTACACGTCGGTGCGCGTTGCAGCGGAATGGGAATGGTACCAGGGTCACGGACCAACAACAGAGATGAAGATAAAAACCCATCAGACCTCTGAGCAGCTCGCGCCGACCGAGCAAAGTAAATCGCAACCACGCGCAAAATAAAGTGTGACCATGCGCAACGAATAGCGTAAAGAATAAGTAGTTAATAAATTAAATAACATAAATAATAAGTAAATAAACAGTTTTTTTCTCCATTATAAAATTTTTGATGTTATGGGAAGGCGAGTCTGAATAAACTTTGGTGCCACGGTGGTGAGATGTTAACTACCTCACCTGGTATACAAGAGTTCGTGGGTTTGATCCCAACTCTTAACACCTGCTGTATATTTGGAGTTTGTGTGCCTTTCTCTCTCGCCTTGTGGCGTCAAGGAGAGACGGCTGACAGGAGGGAATAGACCCCACTGGGACAGTCATGGGTTAGCATCCCATTTCTGTAGTTTCCCATGCTTCGCAGTATGTTGGAAACACCCGCTTTAGCTACAGAAAGTCAACATAAGAGAATACCCCTAGAGTCTGCGAGAGCGGGGGCGGAAGATGACTCATCGGCTGACAACATGGTAAGGACTGGACCGGAAACGACTACGAGTAATGAGAGCACAGCACAAGAGAGCACCACAGCAACTGTCACAAGTTCTGCTGCAACAGCGGGCCACAAACAGATGCAGGTATGTGTCTGTGGTTGGAGGAAAGTTACATCACACCATGGGTTGAGGATCCACCAAGGGAAGAAGGGGTGTTTGGGCAAAGAGAGACAGAGGCCTCGCATTGATTACTTTCTGCGAAAGCGATAAAATCAGTCGAATGAAGCACAGCAACTGGACGCAAACCATAGTTTGCAGTGCATCAGTACCACTGTCATGGAGGACGTAAACTCAAGCACCGAAGTAACAACTGAGGTGGAACCAACAACAGGAGTGGAATTCACCCAGCCTCCCAGACCTGCAGTCGAGAGGAGACTACCAGGGCACAGACCGTATGTGAAGTGGCTTGGCGCCAGTGACAATAAGTTGTGGGAAACAGTGAATACTGACCTTACCTTGACCCTCGAGAAACTTCGAGGCACAGTGGAGAAGAAGT